TGCAAAATATGTACAAAAATATTTCAAATCGTGGGGAGGTTACAAAAGAAAAAATCAAGAACGCGGTCGAGAAAGGGGCTTACACATTTGAACGAACAGGAAATGATGAGTTCTCTGTCACCTTGACTTACCCATCCCGGGTAAAGAAGGTGAAGCCATATTCTTTAAGCGATTTACAGGATTTAAGATGGCGCGCATTATTAATTGCAAAACCTAGCGTGAGAATAGATACCGATGTAGATACCGAAGAGCATAGGGCAAGGGCAATGATAATGGACGAATTTGTTCGGCAAGTTGATATTGTGTATGAGATTTGTAACGTTGGAACTAAAATAATACAGGTTGGGCACTTTGGATATCGGCAATTCAAGAAGGAAATCTCGGATGACAATAAAACGAAAGAATTGATTGATTTACTTAAAAAATTTAAAGGCGAATTAAAAGAATGGTAAGTTACATATGATGTTTTATCCATTAACTATTATTATTTTTAGTATTTACTCGTGATATTGCCCTCGATTCAGGAATGATATTGTTAATCGCGCGCAAGAAGATCATTACTATCTGACGTTTTTTCCGGCTCGTTATATTCTCATCTTCCTTGACTATTTTACCGGAGAGGAAAATAATGAAGAGAGTTGCGAAACCCTTATAAAATTTGTCAGCAATAAAGCCAGAATGCCGTCCAAGAAGGAAATCTCTAATGTTTCACGTGGAAAGAAAGATCATTACTTGGTCCTTTGCGAGATTGGCGCTAAACTAAAAAATATTTTTGCCAATATTCCGATCCAATCAATTCCACTTAGAACTAGAGGAAAATTAATTACTTCTGATTTAGTACTTGAAGGAAAGCTATTTGTTGCTCGTTGCAAAAACAATTTATTCATTCCTAACGTTATAATGTCGATTTACGCAAATCATGGGAACTATCCGGAACCGTGGCAAATTTTGATTTGTAGATCTTCTACTACAACCGATGAACTTTCCATTTTTCTTAAGCGCTGTTTCCATGCATCTAGTAATGGGTATAAGAACACCCTTTTTTGCATTGCAAATTTGGAATTGCTTAACCTCGAATTACAATATGATCTTGTGAATAATATAAGATCTTTACGCGAGAAATATAATAATTATTTGCTTGCATTAATATGTTTCCAGGAAGCTGGGGTTCATCATCACGTTTTAGATCAATTCTCTCAAAATGTTGTTACTACCGATGGCCTAGGTGTTGAAACGATGAAAGAGATCTATCATCAACTATGTCCATATGCTGTATGCGTCACCTCTGACTTATCTGGACAAGGAAAGAGTGGATGGATTAAGAAATCTAGTTACAGGAAGCAAAAAGCTCCGCGCAACTTTCTTATCAATAATGAAGTTAATTTCAGTAAACTAGTGCATCAGCTTAAAGAATTTGATCTACGCCAGATGGAAAGTCTGCATATTAATATTGTATCGATTAATAATTATAACGATGTTAATACGTTCTTGTTTGAGCTTCTGACGTTAGGGTTTGTATATAACGAAGTGGATATTACGTGTCTTCCACCACGAACTACTATCTTTATTGAAGTTGCGTCGACAGTAGAAAATCAATTATTTAAACTACTTCCGATTGCAAGTTATTTATTGAGGCAACATCTATCCTGGGACATTGAGAATTTAATTGTATCCCATGAAACTCATAGTCCTATTCAAGTGGTATGTCAATATTTGGATGCGCTTGATCAGAATCAGATTGATAAAAGAGATATTTTACTTTGTGGAGAAGGTCCTGTTAACGAGAGTTTGCCGGCAAGAAGATGTCAAAAATTGTTGTCTAAATACTTTCTTAATCAAAATGCAGATAGTGTTTTGTCTTTCCGCTTTGTAGAAATTTTTGTTAATTTTTTAGCCGATCAATTGGTAAGTATTGCTTTTGTGCTATATTTTTTTTTTCTAATTTGTTAATGTCTCGATTTATTTATCAGACACGATTGTTTTCAAGTTCTCACTTTCGTGTTGAAAGTTTGAAACAGATGGCAGGCGAAGAAAACATAAGGAGTACGTTGGTCCTTAGATTATTGGAGGTTTCCAAGGACTTTGCAACTCGTTCGGTTTATGTTAAGGCAATGCAACAGGAGTCTATTAAAGCGGATTCAATAGATGACATTAGAATTGACGTTAAATCATGGGATTATTCTGATCATTTTCTTTTGTATCTAGCGTCTCAAAATCCGGACTCAATTTGTGCTCTGTACCGAGATAAAAATAGGGTTGATGAGAATGTAAGAAATTTCTTAAGGCAATTTACCGACAACAAAAAGGGGGAACTCGAAGATTACGATTGCATGTCCCAAGAAGAATTGTTAATAAAATTGGTGTCTTTGACACGTAAGAAAAAGGATGATATCAAGTTAGAAAATTATGCGCTATCATTCGACAATTTGATAAAGATGGCCTTGATGTTATTCAGGGCGCGAGCAAATATTCCAGTTGTCATAATGGGAGAGGCTGGGTGTGGAAAGGTAAGTGTTTCATTAATGTCATTCCTTATTTGTAGACGTTTTAAATACAATTTAAACAAATAAGCAATTTGTATTAAATTCTTTGTAGACAAGCCTAATCGGTTATTTGGCACGAATTGTTGAAGTCAAGTTTCGGGCACTAAATCTTCACGCAGGAGTTACGGAAACTGCCATAACAAAATTTATGATCGAGGTTCAAAAGGAGGCTGAAGGAGGAGAGATATGGTTATTATTCGACGAGATCAATGCCTGTAATCATATTGGTCTCTTAGTAGACCTTATTGCTCATCGAACGTTCCATGGAAAACCCATTCATCCAAATATTCGATTATTTTCTGCTTGCAATCCGTATCGTCTACGAACAAAAGTTCAGAGCCAAGCCGGGTTGACAACTAAAGTAAAAAGATATGAAGAACAGAGTGTTCTCGTGTATCAAGTAAAACCACTTCCTGATCAAATACTGGATTATGTTTGGGATTACGGTATTCTGCAAGAGAGAGATGAAAAGAAATACATTCAAATTATGACAGATACTCTACTTAAAGAGTTGAACCATTCAGTACTTACAGAACTCTTGTTTGCATCTCAGGAATTTATTCGCTCTATCGAGGAGCCGTATAGTGTTAGCTTACGTGATGTGAAAAGAGTCATAAAATTGATAGGTTTTTTCCATAAGAGTTTAACAAACCGTCCACAAAAATCGAAAAAATATAGATATCCAATCGAAGGTCCTGGATATCCGTCACTACAAATGCGATGCATTGTTTTAGCACTCTGTCTTTGCTATCAATCTAGGATCTATGATCAGGAAGA